ATCACTCTCTCCAACTTGCTGGACCTGTAGGTTGGACCCGTGGCAGTATTGACTTTGTCATTGGACAAATCTCTAAAGAAAGTAAATAGTTCTGGGTTGATGAAACAGAGTGGGTGGATGTGGGCTGATTTACATGGTGTTGTATGCTTTGAGCTTAGATCATTTGACATCTCTTTTTAAATACAGCTTTAATGTGGAAGACCTCAGGAAGAGGGTTTTTACATGGTCTGTACATACTCTATTTATGGTTGTTGCCATGTTAATATTGGAGCTGCCTTTGAAGCAAGGTGGTACTAACTGAGAGAGCGAAAGGCCAGACATCTCCAGACAGACACAGCAGGATTGTCTGCTGTAAAGCCACTGACATTCTGTTGAACTGACAGTCAGAGCTGTTCAAAACTTTAAATTGGTTTGTCAGCATCACCAGACCGAGACAAAGTTTTGATTATTGCTTGCGTTTCTAACAAATGAGAAAGTTAATAAGAAAGAACTAAAGTGCTTTAAAAAAAAAACATTTCAGTAGCGTAATTCAGATAAAATTAAGTTGATATTGCATATTTTATAATCACAAAAGGCGAAAGTAATTTTGCAGTGGTGTCTTCATTCCCCAACACACACACACACACACACACACTGTCTCATTGTTTTTTTGATTTCCATTTTTCCTTTATTAATCCACCCATCATTTTCTTCTCAGAAAGTGAAACATTTATTGCTGAGTTTAAACAGTAATTGCTTATATATTATTTTTCTGGAAGGGGTTTGCTTTAATACATTATCATATGTTGCACAGCATTAACTTACGTCAGCAATGGTTCATTGTTAGATGAGATAGATATCAATCCATGCCCAGGATGGCATGAAATAATGCATCCAGGTGAGCTGAAAATGCTTCAACTTCAGCAAAATAAATAGCATGGATCCTTAGGCTTTATGAACCTGCTTCATAAACACACAGAAATGGGCAGAATAGGAGAGAGACTGGAGGGAAATAACAGCAAACAGGTGAGTTCAGACATCAAGCACAGGCTGAGCCGCCATGCAGACAGACGCACACCCACAGAAATGATGAGCGTGTCCATCGTCAGCTAGCCGACAAATAATGTTTGGGACAAATAATGTTTGGGACAAATAAACACAAATGGTCCAGTGGTCAAAGTTGAGTGAATGACATGAGGTGGAGTTTTGCTTTATCTAATCAACTAACTTCCTGCAGTCTCTTTTGGAACAAGATAAGAATGCTTCCTAAAATTAAACTATTCCTTTAAGACATTCACTGCAGTATTCAAAATATTATAAGCCAAACTCATCACAGTGAATCAAATTTAGTACTAAATCAAATGTAGTGCATTCTATTAGTACAAGTAAATGAATAGAGGTAGGAAAACGTAGGGCTTTGGGATCGCATTGCTAAGAACCACTTCACCTACTGTATGCTTTAGTAGCTGTTTAATGTGAATTTTTTTATGTTCCTATTGAAACACTTCAAACCCAGAGCCTCATTATTGTTCACAAGAGAGCTGAAAGGAAGCTACTGTGGGTTTGGTGGTGGTAGAAACATAAATGGAGTTTCACAAGTGACAGAGACTCTTGTGAGGTGAAGTGTTACCGTAATATTGACAGCTCTATATTCTGCTTTTGCAGTACTCATTTGTGAAAACTGGAATGTAAACTAATCCTGGTGGTGGGGAGCTATTACTGTAAATCAGCTTTTTCCTCTTGTTAATGTGTATTTTCCAAACATTTGCACAGTCAGCACATTTACTGTACGTTATACAACAATAAGAAGGCAGGTGTGAGGATGAATAAATGTGTCCCTGTGCAGTGTTTCTCGGTATGTGATATAATATCTGTGTTTTGAATAGTTATGAGTTTTACGTCTCAGTAGACACTGTCAGATAGAGACTTTTCGAAATGTATGTCTGTGTGCATATGTTTACACTATGTTCTCAGTCTCAGACACAGCCAAACTTTCTTAATGAGAGACAGATCAATCAGTGGAGCTTAGTTTGACAAGCCAACTGTGAAAATGCCACTCCATCACTTCAGAGATTGTCTTAGACTTCTCATCCTTTATCCACTGTCCACATTATAGACCAGCTTGACCACAGACTCTCACTGAGCCTGAGCATTTGTCCTGATTCTACCGTCATAACCCAGAGAGAGCAGTAAACACTCAAACGAAATGAAAACACTAATGATGATGTGGTGACCACAGCAGCCGGTGTGTGTGCGCTGTGAGAAGCTTGGTAATCTTCTGAGGACACAAACCAGCCTCACTATAAAACTGTAAAGTCAGTAAGTTTAATTTTATACCATGAGAAATATTCACTTCAGCGCAGAAAGCCACAGGAGACTTTTTGGATTCAGCTAAGGTACAGTCAAATTTGAAATAATTATACACATTCTTTCATTTAATGTTTGTTTTATTTGGTTATAAGTGCTGTAAAATGTAACATCATTAGGTAATGATGCTCCATAAAAGTGTGGATTAATGTGGGAAGTAATACTGTAACATTAAAAATAGCTTTTTTTTTCTGTGTTAAATGAGGTGAAACATGCCCTGACCCTGTGGACTAAGATGAGACACTGAGTTTGTGTTTGCATTTTTAGTTTGCACAAAAAAACAAAAAAAAAAACAAAAAAAAAACAATCTCAGAAACATTTCTGCTCTAAGGTGACACTATGAAGTTCATTTATTAATAACAGGAACATGTGAAAAGTACAGCAGAAACACACTTATTTTATTTATGACCTATATAAAGTGTGTGACCTAAAGGTGTGGTGTGTAAAACATTGGCTAGAGTATGCTTAATTATCTTTTCATTAATGTGTAATCACCAGAAAATAAGAATCACTGCATTTTCTTTAGCTTAGAATGAGACATTCATATCTAAATAGGAGCAGGTACCTCATCATAGAGGCTGCCATGTTGAGCTGCCATGTTTTTATAGTAGCCCTGAATGGACAAACCACACACTGACATGAATTTTGCTGTTTTATGTGGAAGTAGCAGCTTGGATCTGGAAACAGCTGGAAGATAAAAAGAAGTATAATTAGAAACAAGAGAAAGCACTGTTGTGGGTTTAAGAACTATAATTTTTTAAATATAGGATCACAGTTAAACTTTGACACAAGATAAAGGAAGACGGCGTGAAGCCCCTTCATCAAAGAAACCAAGACATGAAGAAAAGGAATAACATCAATGGCGGTCAAGTGAGCTGTCGATTGCCAGTTGCCAGTCATGTCAGGGACGCCTCACGACGTCCTAACACAAGTCTAGAATGTTTACGATGTGTTGTTTTTTCATTGTCTATGACGTGTTGGGCCAGTGCTAACTAACAGGAGCACAGATTGCTTTTCTGTTCATTACATTTTTGGCATGTTAGACTGAACCATATTCATTAAATATCACAGTGATACAGCGAAGGGATACTGACTTTCACAGTCAGCCTTGTAAAGCAGCTACCCTATTAGGACTAGCTAGCTAATTTTTTACTTTAACTGCTGCCTCAAGCTCTCCATAAAGATTAGACAACACAGGCTGCTGCTCTCTTTATGCAGTTCACAGACAGGTTCGCAGGCTTTTTTCCCCCTGACAGTTTTTTATGCTTTTCCGAACACAAGCGGCCAGTATCACACACACCACAGATGCTATTCTGTGTTTACATTCTCCCAGTCCCTGGCACCTCTAAGTTGTGAACAACAACAGGCTGTGATCTGTCAGGTACCAATGTGTATTTGTCATTCAAGATTCAAAGTGTTTATTGTCATATGCACAGTATGGAAATGTGTTTCCCTGCACAATGAAATTCTTATGCACATGTGCATTTTTATGATGAGTATCCTTCCTTCCACACCTCATTTGTAAACAAGATCCCTCCACTGTTTTACTTCTAAACTCTCTCTGTGCATTTCCTGTCACACATTTCTCACCATTCACTCAGACTGTGATTCTCCAAACTTTCAACTTGCATCAGCTTTGTCTTTGTATCATTACCTCTCCTCTGTTTCAAATGGTTTGAAGAACAAGACCATGATTTTCTGCTAATAATCCCAAGGAGCCCAATTTAGCAACTAATTTAGGCAAATGTTATCTAAAAAGATTTCAGAGCCACAGCTGGCTTCAACCGGGGCACTAATTTCAGGGCTTGCTTGTAGTTATAGAAGGGTTGAAAGTTATTTCCATTGTGTTGAGGCTCTGTCACAGGGTGCTGTCTGCCCAATTACCCTAAATAGACCCATTATTTCCTGTAAAATTCCTTGCATTGTAAAATGAGTCTCCCTGGAATTTATTTTACTGCAACATGCAAATAAAATATAAATCACTACATAATATCTACCTACAGTGCAATGGCTTCATGCAGTATTTAGACCCTTTCACTTTTTGCACGCTGTGTGTTGTAGATTTATTTTTTTTAATGGGTAAAACTGCCATTTAGTCCATAAATCTATATGTAATGACTCATATTGGCCTACTGAAGTGAAAATGCTTTTAGAAACTGTTTGCACATATTTATAAATCAAAACTGCCATTTCTAATTTACCAAAGTATTAGAACCATGTGGCGCTCCAAACTGTGGCCAGGTGCATCCTGCTTGCTTTGTCAATTACACTTGATGTGTCTAGAACTTCACTGGAGTCCATCTGCAACAAACTGAACTGATAGTGGAGAAAGGCGCACACCTGTGTATATAAGAAAGAAA